GGGGGGAAACAGATAGAGACCCCTCCCATGGTGAGGGAGGGAGTGGGGTAGGCGCTGCTCAGCCAGGCTGGGGTGTGGGACAGAACCATGAGCAGCTTTTCCGGGGGATGCAGGGGGGTTGCTCCCACCAACATGCTCACCTTGGGAGGGCACAGGGGGTGTGCGCCCCCTGGTCAGCATGGGCTGCCAGAGCTGGGGGCTGAACTGGGCTCTTCCCAGCGACAGGGCTGGGAGAGGGTTATGGCAATTACTGGGGTGGCTGCAGCCCACCTCCCCCCTGCAGTCCCCTCCCAGTGCTACCACCCTCCCCAAGCACAGCTTGGCACAGCCCCCACCCCAGAAGTGCCCAGCATAATCCCCATGCAGATCCCCCCCACAAACCCTCCCGAGGTATGTGCAGGGCAGGAGCTGCCCCTCCCCCTTGCCTCCTGGGGAAGCTACAGCTCCCTCTTGTGCCCTGCCCCACCCCAGCTGGGCAGTGCCTGCCCCAGTCCCTCTCTCACCACAGGGGCCTTGATCTGCCCCTCGCTCCCTCCCACCACAACACACTTACCAGCCTGACACTGATCTCCAAGCTGCTCAGCTGTGTATTTGAATCAGATGGGCATCAGCCAATATGGCTCCTTAAAAATCTGCTGCTAGTATCAGCCAAAAAAACCCTCTCTACCTGTGCACCCCTACCCATTAACTATTAATCCAATGCTTTTCCACACCTAGGAGTTTAAAGTGCTTTACCTTTACTACATGTGCTCCTCTGGTTGTAACTTTGTTTCCGATCTCTTCCAAAGCAGTTCTTTTGCCAGGCATTTGGCTTTTATCTTTGTTGATTCCTATCATAGCATTGTCCACCGCCCTTGTAACCTAGAAGAGAGCATGAATTCACAATAGGCAAATCCCAAGAGATCTGCAGGCATCATCTCTTCCACAGCGGTCGCCCATCAGAGCCCTTTCACGAGCAGTACGCGCTGCTGCACCACGTCCTTCCTCAGCACAGCTCATGCTTAGGGCAAAAACAAAATGCTGCAGGCCAAGATCACGCAATTATGGGGAGCCTTGTCAAACTGAAGGAGGTTAGAGCTGAACCCCATTTCCCCCCAAGGAAGCAGTTTTCTGTGACTTATAAGTTGAGTTACTGTGGGGTGGTTACTTCCTTGAAGGCGGCCCAGTGACATTAAGAAAGAGCCCAGCCACGTGGCCTAGAGAGGGTCGTACTGCCTGAAGGCTAGAGCAAGCCACCCTGAAGTCACCACTCAGTTTTAATGCTGCTCCTGGCAAAACGCAAGTGCCTCAGGGGTGTCCCCGGGTTTCCTCCCTGGGCTCGGCCGGCCGGCCACCGCGGGACGCCGCACTCCCCCAAGGCGCCCACGTTTGTTTCAAGTCTCGCAGGCTTCCCAACTTCCCGCCGGAGCCCGGGTCCTAGCCCGGCGCTGCAGCGGCCCGCGGCGCCCCGGAGCCTCCCCAGGCGG